TATTCACATAGGAACAAGAGAGAAGAAAACTCAGAAAGTTAAGTAATACAGCCATTTTACCATGCCTGATGTAGTGCAAGTCTTACTCCAAGGGGAGGCCTGGAAGCTGTCAAATATTTTGACCACTGGCTGCCATTATCAATAAAGGGGCCACTACAGTAACTGGTAATAAAAATAATCAGGAGCTTGTTCAGATAATCATAGAATCATCATAGAATAGTTTAGGTTGGAAGATCGTCTAGTTCTAACCCCCCTGCATGGGCAGGAACACTTCACACTAGACCAGGTTGCTCAAAGCCCCATCCAACCTGCCCTTAAGCACTTCAAAGGAGGGAGCATCCCAGCTTCTTTGGGCAACCATCCTCACAGTAAAGAATTTCTTCCTAATATCTAATCTAAATCTACCTCTGAAAGCTATTAACCTCTCCTGAATATAGAATAATTATCCAATTAAAAAATTTAAAAAATGCAATGCTTTTTTCTATTGATCTCCCCAAGTATGTTTTGGCCTCCAAATTCTTCTTCCTGAGAAGTCTCCGAAGAACTGACATCTATCTTCTGCCTGGATATCACTTGCATCCTTTGCATTTGACCTTGGAAGTGACAGTGGGAAGCTGTCTCCTAATGGTAAAGGCTGGAGGCTTTATTTCCATGTGTGCTGGAGCTGATCTGCCAGTAGCTTTTGAGAATAGACCATGAAGTGCCCTCACTATGCTTCCCTCAACAGTGCTGGTTTAGACTTAGATTCTTGACGTGGAATGAAAACTGACTGACCTTTTATGCTCAAAGGGTTGTGACCAGTGGTGTGACATCCAGTTAGAGACCAATCACTAGTGGCATCCCTTGGGGTACACTGGGCCAGTACTGTTTAACATAGTCATTAGTGACCTGGATGGTGGACAGAGTGCAACCTCAACCAGTTTGCAGAATACACAAAACTGGGAAGAGTGGCTGATGCACTAGGTGTTTGTGCTGCTGTTCAGATGGACCTTGACAGGCTGGAGAAATGAGCCAACAGGAACCTAATGAGAAACAACAAAGGGAAATAGGAAGTCCTGCACGTATTAGGGAATAACTTTATGCATCAGTTCATGCTGGGGGCTGACTGGCTGGAAAGCAGATTTGCAAAAAACTAACCTGGAGGTTCTGGTGAACAAAAAAACTGGAACATAATCCAGCAGTGTGCCCCTGTGACAAAGAGAGGATCCTATTACATATTTGGAGGAGTGTAGCTAGTGGGTCAAGGGAGGTGATTCTTCCCCTCTGCTCAGCACTGGTGAAGACAAATAACCGGTGGATCCAGTTATGGGCCCACAACTGGGTTCACTTCTGGGGTTTGTAGGACAAGGATGTGCTCATATTGGAGCAGGTCCAGTGAAGGTCTATGAAAATAATTAAGGGCTTGGAGCATCTTTCACATAAAGAGAGGCTGAGAGAGCTGGGACTGCTTATCCTGGGGGAGTGGAGAGGAGGCTTGAAGAGATCTTATGCATGTGAATAAATACCTGATGGAAGGGAGTAAAGCACCACCATAAGCAAGAGCAGATGTTCTGGTTGTTTTGATTTCTGTTGTTTTCCATTCAAATACTGAAAACTGGCCTGGACTTTTGATAGTTTTACTGGAATTGGCATATCTTTTAATTAGTCCCTTATATTTTAAAGTTTTGTTTGTGGAATTAACATGCAAATGGAAACATATGTAAAGATATTTATCTATGATTGATGATTTCCATAGCATATGTAGGCTTAAAATTCATAATGCAGGCAATAAATACAATTAGATTGACTGTCTTTCATTAATACCATCAAAGTGGGCAAATTTTGAAAGGCTTTTGACTTAGAACAGTGCAAAGACTGTCTAGTTTTGCCTCACATTATCTCAGCAAGTCTTTGTCCTCTCTGGTAATGAACTAAGGTTAAGTTTGGCCTACATGTTTATTGTCTATACAGCACTTTTGGAGAGTACTTGTAAACCATGTAGAACATTTCTGAAGGTGGATAGAGTTTATATTCCATGTGTTTAGGGGAGTTAAAATGTTTCAGTACACGAAGTATCTTAGATATACAGTGTTCTAGCATCAAATTTGGAAAAGTGCTGAGTATTAATGAGGTCTGGTAACATCCATTAGACAGTGTGAGGTGTTGGTGCATACATGCTGAGATCTGGCTTTGAACACACATATGTTGAGGTAATGTACTGTATTTTGTTCAGAGTGAATTTACAGATTATATTTGTGGAAACCCCCAAGCTTTTTACACCATACTGAAAAGCTATGCCTTTGCATGCTACACAGTCTGTCTCCGCATATCTCTGAATAATATGTGGACTAATTTTTTTGTCTGATTTACGTTTCTTGTCTTCACTGAGTGATGTCGTATTGCTCAAGATAACACATGGGAGTAGCAGGTTAAATCATGCACGTGCTCTCAAGAATCTTATCAGAAGAAGACCTCATTCTACAGTAAAAGCAGACGGGAAGAAAGACTTTTGCCTTGTGTGTGCAATGTGCCTTTTATTGCGCTAATGTGAAATGATTCGATGTGATGGACAGCAGTTTATCAAAACAAAATCTCATTAAAATCTCTCTGCACTTTGCCCTTACTCTCCTTTGTATAATAAGATTGGGAAGCTTTCTGTGACCAGACTGTAACCTGTGGTAACCTGTAGTATGCGTACATTTATGGGTGATGAATAAAACCATTGTTATCACCCTTAGATGTTGGCATCAATATTGTGCTAATAACATTTGGAAGTTTCTGCTTTATCAGCAGCAATGACTAGCAAATAATCAGCTGTTTTGTAATGGGAAGCTTAAAATAGCAGCCAGAGACATTTGAGTTAAGCTTCATGGAAAAAGACACTGCTGCATTTATTATGATATCATTTTTGTTGTGTAAGGATGACATGATTGTTGTTTTATCATTTTAGACATACAGTGCAATTAAGAATAATCAGTTTTCCCACACATTCCGCCGAGCAACTGAAGCACAAATGCTAATAACCAGGCCCTTAAATTTAGAGTGACTTCCGCTGTTGCATGGGCAGCCCATGGTCACAGATGCCTGTTTCATAGTGGTATGCAGCTATTGTGTGACTGCAGTCTTCTTACAGACATGCAAGTTTCAAATGAAGTTGCTGACGAGTGGCAAAATATTTAAGATTTGCCCACACTACCAATTTAAAGATAGTTTGGAGTGTGAAGGAAAGGGTTCTTTGTAGAAGTACATATGACCTATAATCTGGGTTTTGCAATCTGTAACAGGCATCCAGACTGGAAGTTTAAAAGAATTTCTAATTTAGGTTTACTGGAAGTAGTAGGTGGTCGCACCAATAAAAATTATGTTGTCTTACATATGCACACAGATATGTGAAGTGTTTACCCCATAACTTGTGTGAAATGTGTGTGGCTGGTTTTAGAATTCAGAGCATCAGCAAAGACGGGTCAGGGTTTGGACAGGGTGTTGAGAAAACAGATCTTCCCTGTAACTAAAGGCGGTCAGTTTATACTGACAGGTTTTGGTTTGTAACTGTTCTTACTAAAAAACATGTATTTGTCAGGAGGAAGCTGTCTTATATGGACTTAGACCAAGCTCTGGCATGAATGTTTTATACAGAAGTCTGCATGAACAGATCTGTCTAAAAAAGTTTATACATTCATATGAGACTTTCTTTTCTGTATTCTTTTCCCCTTTTTTTTTCTGTGCTCATTGCTTTCCTCAGTGTGAGTATGCAGTTCCTTAATATTATGCATGCTTCTAGATTGTTACTGTACAGGGGCTTTTTTTGCATGCCTGGGACTAAACATTTGCTGAATTTTGCCTTTGCTTCCTAAGAACCTTAGGCTGAAGTGCTTAATATAATGTGTGAAAAATAAATTGTTAAACTGTATCACTGAGCAATACTCTACCAGGATTTGAAGCATAGTGAGAGCAAACAAGTGATATCTTAACTATGATGTACAGTTACTTGCATTTTGTATTTTCCACATACTGTTTTAATTTTTTTGACTATGCAAGATGGTAAAAGGGTCTTAGTGTGGATGTAGTTGTATCTGTATGGAAGATTGCAAGTAGAAAAAGCATGTTCATGTTTGTGAAGAATAATGAACTACAGGACCATGAGAACTTTGTACTATGAAAGTGTATATATATTTATGTGTCATGTTACCAAAATTTATAGTAAGAATTCACACTCATAGATCAGGACATCACAGCTCAATAAAAAATTGATGTCTGAGAATGGAAGATGAGTTTTGCTGTCTGCAAGAAACTATCACAAGGCCTCATCACCACTAGCACACCACCCCCTTTGCTGGCTCCTTGCACTGAAGTCAAATTATTAGTGAAAGATTTTTTTTCCAAACGCTTGCAAAAATTGTGGTTGTGACATGCATGACTTAAACTGCCGTTGCATGCTCCTGTATAAGTAAGGGAGTGATGTAGAGGAATCTGTTTGCATTATCCAGTTGTAGAAGATGTCCTGACACAGTGGTAAAAATTGAGGATGAAGTCAATTATACATTTTCTTTCTCCCAGTGAAAAGTCTCAGTGGAGATGATGTGGACTGAAATGAAAGCAGTTATGTCTTGCTCAGTTAAATGTTCTGTTCACTATTAAATGTGACAGTAAGGCCACTGTCATTAACTTAAAACAAAGAAAAAATCCTCAAAGCTAGAGAAGTCCTGTTTGCACCAGGAGCTCAGACTTGAGACCACTGACCAAGGAGACAGCTGAGGAGCTGGATAGATGCATCCTATTCTTATAATCCCCGGGAGTGTCCCTAACTTGTCATTGCTGCATTTGGGTTTTTTTTCTTTTTTTAGCACTTTTTTTTTGTGTGTATTTGCTCAGGGTCTGTGACACCTCAGTGCAGCTGTCTGCTCTCTGAATCAAAATGTTTAAGGAAGCCATTTGAACATTGTTTACAAAGTTCTTACTTAAAAGTTGTGTTCGTGTTTTATAGTTTAGTTGCTGCTTTTCACCTGTCTCTGTTCTTCCAGGCTTTTAAGACCAAGGATGGCTACATTGTGGTGGGAGCTGGAACTGACAACCAGTTTGTCACTGTGTGCAAGGTAATGATGTGTTAGGCAACGGTGCACAAATGTGTAACAGTTTCTGTTCTGACTATGAAAATAATTACTGATTGCTTCCCCTGTTTTTGGTGAAAGTAAGTAGTGAATAAAAATTCTAACCCTGGGGTTTTGGCTGGTAGTTTAGAGGACTGATACAGGTTCTGTGCTTTGCCTCTGCATTCGGAACACCCTCATTCCCAAACTTGTGGATGTTGAATCCCTTTTGAAGTCTGTGCACCTAAAAAAAATGAACAAACTAACAACCTTCAAATTCTGGAATGGTGAACGTTACAGTGATGCCTTTTTCAGGAAGAAATGTGACACTGTTTTTCCATAAAATATAAGACAGGCACAACTATTAACAAAGCAAAGCCGAATGCATAGTCCTTTTCAGCAGTAGTATTTGCAGGTCTGTCCTCACAGAAAAACTCATGGGCTTCTTAGAAAAGAAATGTTAGAGGAGTGTGGGCTGACTTTGGAGTGGTGCAGAGATACAATGTCGAAGAACAGATCTTCAAACAGGATTGCTGCCTTCAAAATTTGTTATTTTCATTATTTTGAAGGTCAGGAACATGACTCTGACAATTCTGTTTTACAGAGGGCAGCTTGGAAAGTTGTACAATAGTTTTGGATTTTTCACATGCTCTTTTCCTATTGTTTTAATACCTGGAATTACTTTTCCCCAGGCAGTGAATACATTTTGGAAGAAAAGGAGTA